CCAGCCGCACCAACAGGCTGAAGAACAGTTTCTTCCCTTGGGATGTCAGACTTCTGAATGGAAAATAACTTCATGTCAACATAGTATGATAGACTTGCAGGGCCGGCGCATTGTGCAACAAGGTCACATAGTTAATAAGATTGGGACTGGGTTAGGGACTTCTGTCCTCACTGTGAGTTGTGTTGGGGGGAGGGTGCATGAAGGGAGCCTCAGCCAATCTCATTGTACACATGTTGTACTCTGACAATAAAGGTAATAATAATAAAGTAGCACTAAGTTTGTTTCTCAGTATGCTAGTAAAAAAAGAGGGGAAATCATAATAATGGAATATGATGCAACATTTGAGTAGAAGCAACATTTGTGTGTGAAAAAGAGTGAAATTGAGGTATATGATATTAGAAATATCAAATGTTGACAAAATATCAATTGCCCTGCAACATCAAAAAAATCCCTCTGCATCTAGCCCACATATTCATAGGAAGCCCCTAGAAAATTTATCTGCAGTACTAATCTGTGTAACATCTGCTTTAGCAGGCAGAAAGGGACATATGCAGAATTTGGCTTACACAATTTCTGCAGGGCATGATCCCATAGTCCTCCTGCCAGTTTCCTTTCCATAAGAAGTTGGAAAACTCTTTCTCTTCCCCAATATATTCAGTCATGCATTCAATGTTGCAATTATATGCATCGGTCAGGATAAAAATTGCACATTTGTTTATTTTGTTTTAGGTAAAATTATTAAGACAGCTTTCTATATATCACTTTAAAAGCAAAAACAAAATAAAAGCAGTTAAGCAAAGATCCAGTCTTGTTACTGTCCAGCAAGATACAAGGTAATTCTCAGCAGACACTTCTTGCTTCCTTACAGCCCCTTGTGATCTGCAACTTCTCTTGCTCTTTAGCATGGATTCTCTATCTAAATGAATGACAAGCAGTCTTTGAGCCAATAATGTCATTGTTAATTTCAAGTGAATATCTTGAATACTCTTGTAAAGTGACTGCCTGGTAGGCCTTCCCTCTTCTCAGGATAGAATTCTAATGGCTGAAAGAATAAGTGACAGACATCAGGAAGAGCCACAACCTAGAGAATGATATATATCTTTCGATTTGGAAATCTGAATCCAAAGCTAGAATGGATGGGGTGGAGAAAATGTCCCAGAATTGACCCTTCCTAGTTTGCTGGGGAAGAGCTTTCATACTTGCAAGATTCTACCAATGGAACCTTATAATAAAGGTAATATCGGTACCCTTGCTTTGGTTTCCTAGTCTGAGATACTTTGAAGAGCTTACAGGAACACTATCCAGGTGAGACCTTGAAAGAAAAGAAGGAAAAGTAGCAATTAAAACCACAGCATCCCTCTGGTAAGACATGAGGCTCAAGCTTTGGGCCTACAGGCGGCAATGGCTAAGCCTGCAGTCTTTTTTAAACAACAAGCTGATTTTCTGCGTGGATAATGGAAGGCCAGAAAGAAACCCAAGTATTTGCCAATGGTAGCACAATGTGTAGAGGTGGAGTAGCAGGCAAAAGCAGGTTCAGGACAAGTGCAATAGCAGTTAGGACTAGAGGGTTCAACTTACACCTTGCCTGATCTTCCACTGAGCCTAAATTAGATAGACTTCCTCTTTTTTAGAGCAAAGGCCACTATCCCTCACTGCTAAGAGCATCACTACCACTGTGTGGAAATATAATTAACAGAGCATTGCAGGCAAGTAAAACGGAAAGACCTTGATAAAGGGGAACCAATGGAGAAGGACTACAATGGAGGTGGCTACAAGCTTGATAGCAAACCCTTCCTCCCCCTCTCTCCCTGCTTTTCCACCCACCCATCTTTTACCCTCATATCCTTTGCTGTATTCTCATTGTTTTTTTTTTCATTATTTAATCTATAGTTCCACTATTCTGCTAATATTGTGTTTACACTTCTTTTCATTTCTCTGTTTTTATTGTTCCAAGCCCTACAGTAAGATAGGCAGCAAATAAATTAAACAAATAAAAGAATTTAAAATCAGAACAACATTCCAAGTGACAGGAATATGAAAGTAATGAACAGATGTTCAGCAACTCCCTGTGGCGGGGGTGGTATTCAGCATGTTCTGACCAGTTCTGGAGAACCGGTAGTGGAAATTTCAAGTGGTTTGGAAAACCGGCAAATACCACCTCTGACTGGAGATTTTACAGTATCCTTCCCCTGCCACGCCTACCAAGCCACGCCCACAGAACCGGTAGTAAAAAAAATTGAATCCCACCACTGACCTGTGGAACAGAGTATCAGAGATTCTACTTTCTCTTAACATCTTCAGAGAGAAAGGATGTTAAAAGGTAGTGTGGCAGTTATGAACACATAACTAAAGCTCCTATTATTTTTACATGTGAATGTTGATGCATGTAGAAAACAGCACCAATCACAAAGTCACAACCATGTTGGCTATGATATATTTGTTTGCTTTGTTTCCCAGTTGCCAAATTGTGATTGTTTTGTACAGGTAGCCCTTGGCTTATGACTGGTTGTTTAACAATTGTTTGAAATTACAACAGGCCTGGAACAAGCACTTTATGGCCTGTAAAGCACTTCTGACCATTGTAAAATGTCATGCCACACACATAAACACAACCCTGTGGTCAGGTGACCCCATTCTGGACATTTGACAGCCAGCTTGTCTTCATAACCAGTTGCAGCATCCCCTGGTGACATAATTGTGATTTGCAAAGTTTTTGGCAATTTCTGAGGTTTGGTTTTTTTTTGCTGGTTTCAGAAGAATTGGTTTACACTTAAGACTGTGTGTTCTGCTTAATAACCACACAAAATAAATAAATACAGGTCCAGTCATGTGGGTTCTTCAAACTATGACTGTAGTAACCTATGACTAAATCCAATCCCAATTGCAATCATAGGTTGAGAACTGCTTGTTAAATTAACCTTTTAAAAAGACAGAATAGTCTATTTCCCCAAAGGGAGAAATGGAGAAACATTTTTAGAGGCAGAAAGCAGCTCCCACTTTCCTTAATAGCCCACAGCAGGTGTTGGTTAAGAGATAAAGAGCTTATTGAAAGAAGACACGTATCTAGATAGCTCTATTCATAGGCAAGCAAATACTGCAGGCAGAGATCCATCCAAGACAAGATATTTTGAAATTCCCTGCAGCAAAGTCTGAACAAAGGCAGAATAGTAGGATTAGAAGCAGCCCCTCATTCAAGATCCAAAACAGGACAAAAGCCATTAAGCCACAATAGGAATTGCCCAACACCCTTTCAGAACACAAGCCCCTTCATTGCATCATCCCAGACCAGTCCAAGCTTCACTTGGGAGCTCAGACAAACATCTAGGATTTGCATTTCCTCTTTTGCCTATGGAGCCAGCTATGACCCTACATAACCCCTATAAGACTACATAGGAATCTGATAACAGCTAATAGAATACATGTTTTTGCACAGGAACAGGAAGCTCAACTGCAAAGCCCAAGAGAATGTATAAACCCTTCCCAACTCCATTTTATCAGTTGCCCAGAACCACAAACCCATGTGGTTCTGCTTCAACAATAAATGAACCCTCTTTCCAATCTGCCTTCAGCCTCCATTTTATTTCCAGTACCTTCCTCCCAGCTTGGAACTGAACCAGATGGATATTTTTTCCCAGAATTGGAAAAGATAATCTGGACTAAAAATTGAAACAAGCAGTTACTCTGCAGCCCATGAGAAAGTAAGCATCTAAGATGCTTGCTGTTTAAAGCCATTTCAAAGTTATTTCCAGAATATATGATGTGTCCAAACCATAGATTTTAATACTTGGACTCCTGATCATGGATTAAATAAGTCAGCCTCAGTCCAGTCAGTTTTTTTCCCTTGCTCTCTCTTTAGCATTATCTTAACCGTTCACAGATCTGGGATTTGGAATAGCTGATTTAAATATACACAATTTAAGATAGGCATTATCACAAAAAGGCTAATGGAAATAGAAATCAAAAGTAGATGACAAACTTCCAGGGACCAAAATGAGGTCACTATAAATAAGTAAATAAATAAATAAAAACATTTTTATTGCTGCAAGGGAAGGTAATACGACCATAGAAGCAAAGATCAGAATCTACGCAAACAAAAGCTTGATAACACAGTAATGTTTCCATACGTGATGACGATGATAAAAATAATAATAAAAATAAGGTTCCAGGAAATTTAACAATGCCAAGGAAAAATGAATAAAACTAAAACAAAAGGTTGAAATAGAATATATTTTGCCTCCTCTCTTACAGAAATGCCCTGTCTTTCAGTCTTCTACTGCCATCTTCAGTTATACAGCAGATGGACATATTATGTAAACATAGTTTAAAAAATGTTTTGCATAAAAATGGGTAATGGGTATTCTACATATACAGTAAGATTTGTTTTGAGCAGTATTTACCTTTCTCAATCCCCTTTTTTGAGCCCATTGGTGATATTGGGTGGAATAAGGCCAGAAAGCTTTGAGCCAGTTATCTCTCATGTTTTCGCTCTTTGGCGCTCACTTATATTCCTTAGCAAAATTATGGAAAAAAATAGAAGTCAATATTGGCTAACCAGTAGTGAAATACTTTGAGGCATAAGCTATTGTTTAAATTTATTTATTTATTTATTTATATTTCACATTTCTGAACCATCCATCTCCCTTAGAGAGGTACTATTGTTTGCCGGTTTGCATATTTGTATTTTTTTTTAATAGTATGTGTTTCATACTGCTGATATCAGACATGGAAACAGTTAGCCCAGCCACACCTGCTAGTTCCATTAAATTTAACTTTTTTGACTACCCTGCATGAGATCAAGCTGACCAACTGATAGCCATGAATACCACATATAGGAGCAGAGAAGTAGGAACTTCTTGAGCCTAGTGTTTTATTATTTTGCTTCTAAATCAGAACTCTGAATAAGAGATTATATAAGAATTGCATAATGTTTGGTTAGATCAGCCAACCATTGAAATAGCTATATATCCCAAAGCGTAAAAAATACATTGCTTCTTTTAAACAAATATCCATCAGTCTTATGCATGGCTGGAATCCTGAGGACATATTTACTTTAAAGTAAATTCTACTAGAAAGATAAACGTAATTTCAAGCAAGCTTGTTTACAACTGGAGTGTTAAGTATTTAAAGAGTTTTTTTAAGTCAACAAAAGTAGTCCAGATGTGGTGCTGATATTTTGATACTCAAGTGTACTGTAAAAGATCCTGTCTCCTGTCATGCAAGAGTGGCAGTGGACCTGAATCAACATACTGTGAGACAATGTCACTGCCAGATGAGGTATGTGTGGGCCAGTCTTTAAAATGTCTCAGCTATCCCTTTCACAACTAGAAAAAAAAATAAAATACTGAAATAAAAGTCAAGGCTAGAAAAGAGTAAAACCCATTACTGAAAGAACATGATGAATTGTAGAATCCAGAATATTATTCCCTAGAGAAATGCCTTATTACTAAGTCAGTGACATTCCAGAAAAAGATTTAATATATGATGAATATATTTCTGGTTGCTAACAGGAATTGAAAAATCTTATTAAGAAAGAGAACCCAGTATAGTTTTCCTAAGCTCTTGGCTACATATTGATCATATGCAGTAAAGAGGATGATAATGAGTGTCACTATAAATAAAGAAGTGCTTTCTGTGTCTGCCTCTTTGTCTCAATATATTATCTTTACAATGCTCATGTAAAATGTTTTATAGAATTCTACACATATGTGCTGAAATATCACTGTTATAAACTATATTTTAGTGACAACCAGTGCATTAATTTTAGTAACTTAACCAGCCATTCATGATATTTTAAGCACAAGTTAATAAATTTCACCCTCTTCGCTCAAAGAATATTTTCATTCAAATATTTTCAACTAATTTTTAGTGTGCAAGTTCCACACTTGCTCAGTTCAATTTTATTTATAAAACAGTGAAAGATGCTAAGTTTCCATAAAGTTTGACTATTTTGCACTATCAAAGTTTATGGAAACTTAGCATCCTTCCCTACTTTATACAATAATATCAAACTGAGCAAAGCTGGAACTTGCACACTATTAAAAAAAACTAAAAAATATATAAAACTACCGATTTATTGCAGATAAATGTTTGTTTATTAACTGTGATCAGCTACAATGTGAACTCAAGATTCACTTGGTATTTTTCTATATGTATTGGCCTTTATGGGATCATTTATTTTAATGGAAAAAACTCACAGAAAATTTACATTGTTAGGATATAAAATAAATTAGAGAGAATAAGAACCATTTTCTAAAGTAACTTCTTTTTAAAGAAGTTATATTATTAAATTTTAATAGAAGTATACAAAGTATATACAGCAGCTGCATTAACATACAACTCTAAAAGAGTCTCTAAAAATTGTGATTATAGATAAGTTTAAACGGTCGTCATAAATGGCCCAGGATGTTAAAGGACTGAAGGCTTATCTACCACAGCATCTGTGCATGTCTTTGTAAATTTGGTCTTATTGCCTCTGCAGCATTTAATGGATGCCAAATTTTGAAGCAAGTTCCCATACTTGGTTGTCTTCAGCAATAAAATAATAGTATGAATTCCGTAATGTCTAGTCTTAACACACATTTAATGTCACATAGTTCAGTGAGAACCTTAGAATTTCAATGGAACTTACTACCTTATAAGTCTGTAAAGAGTTACTGAACTACCAGCCTGAGAGATGTTAAATACCAGCATAGTCAATGCGTAATGTGTGCTATTGTAGGCTGCAGCTAACTTTAGCCTACGCATAAATAAATTAGCCTGTAATCTTAAGCCATTTAAACACAATAACAGAGCCAATGTTTCTCAGGACTAGATACTGAAATAAATCCAAGAAATACTTCACTTTGATAAAATTCAGTATATTGATTGTCTCTTAACCATAAGCCAGATATGAAAGTGATTAGTTCAGATTCATGTATCAATCAGAATCCAGAGACACAATACTAACATTTGATTTATCTCTTAAACAGTCTGCAGGAAAAATGGGATAGTTCCTCAATACCCATATTGCAAATGCTCTTGGAATAGGTAATCTTACAACTGGAAAGTATTAAGTTACAGAAAGCTAGTAAGTCAGAACAGTAAACAGAAAGCCTAGATATTGCTACACTTTCAAAACCGGTGACTTATCAACTCTGTAGATGCTACTAGACAATAATTTTGACTACCAGTGCTTGATAATAACCCTGTTTTGACAGCTTCAGATGTTATTGGACATCTGATCATATCCTAACAGTTAAAATCAAACTGGCTTTGAATCAAAATGTTAACATCGTATTCTACATCGATGTAGTGAGACTGCCATCAAGTGGCTTGTTCAGGAAATAACAGGTTTTCTTAGAGAAAACACTATTTTGCAAAGAAAGAATTTTGTGTTACATTTTTTCCCATGCCTATCACAAAATAACATCTTTGGTCAGCATTGAAATGGCTGGATCTATGACTTTGGATCTGGATCTGGATTTTCTACTATAGTTTATCAAATTCAACTTGAATTGAATTTCAAGTTTCAACAGAATGCACTGTTTTATTTATTTATTTTTATTTTAAATCTTTCCAATATTGTGACATAAGCTTAACAATATACATCCATTTGTCTACAAAAGGATTTTAAAATGCGGCATAAATCGAAACAACCATGTTGTTTGTATTTAATGTGCCACAGATCCTATTGCTGATTTTGCTTGCCCATTTTGTAGGAGCAGTATTCAAATGGAAATCAGGATCGGGTTCAATAGGGAGAAACATGCTTTGTTTCACCAAAACAGTGTAATGTTCTAATGTTTCATTCTTATAGGAATTTACCTCAGTTACCTCAGTTTTTGTCTATTTTAATCACACAGGAATCCAAGTAAGTTGAATCTGAATACAACTATTGGGTAGATTGGTCCCATTGAGACGCGAGACCAAAGTGAACAGTCAGCTCTTTATTGAACATACAGTTCTGTACAAGACCTGCGCTTTGCAGTGGCTCTTCATATAGAGCTAACGCGCAGTTCGGTGGCCAATGACATCGCTTTGAATCTCCCGCGATCAGCTCGGCCAATCGTGGTAGATTCTTAGTGCGCCAATCACGGTCGCTTAGTCGGCCAATCAGGTTGCAGTCTGTGCGGACCAATCAGAAGAATGTTAGGATTTGGAGAATGTTAATATAGAATAACTACATTATACATAACTACATTATATGCAGGTAGCTGGAAATCAGGATATGTAAATCCTTTGAAAGAGGAGCTTTCACCCAGGGGACATATGAAGCACCTCTTCTTGAATTGTTAAAGCATCTGTTTTCTAGGCTTGTTCTAGGCTTTATCTGTATAGGTATGCATGCACAGCCATTTTCAATTATTTTTCCAACAAAGCAAAGTGGCTGTGCATACACACTGATGTGGAGATGGTGGAACAGCTTTCCATACATGTTTTCGTTGTTATCAGTGGAATGTCCCTCAGTAACTTAGATTTTTAAATATCCCATTCAAGTCTAATATTGGATCTTTCATTGTACACTTGCAAAATGTTAGCTTAGGGATTGATATATTAATACTTCCAGAGTGATATTACTCAGATCTCTGAAACCAGGCAATTATATTTTCCATAAAAATAACATATAACCCTATTTGACACTGAAAATATGAAAATTAAATCATCTAAAAAATTAGAAAAGGCAAAGGCAAAAACTGATACTCTTTCTTAACTATGTTGGAAAATACTTTTCTGTTTACAAGGCACTTCAGAATTTAAGAACTTGTTTTGTAAAACCTCAATCTAATGGCAAGTTTATATTCCAATTACATCAGCATACTACAACTTGGGAATATCCAGTTTCTGGCTATATTTATTTACTAGTAAAGAAGTTTTACTACTAGATGTTCTCCATATTTTGCTCTCATGTATACACAGATATAACAAAGTTAAAGTAAGATCAAAGATGTGGGGAGGCATTTTGCATTCCTATTTGCGAAGTACTACTGTCCTCATACCACACATATTATATGGAGTTAACACCCATTTATGATAAGCATGATATGAAATCTTTTATTCAGAAATACTCAGAGCCAGAAGCTCATACTCTATTTAAAGGGCTGTCATTAAAGGTTAAATAACCAGGAGATATAAAAGTATTATTAGATGTGCATTTGAGAGCACAATGCCTAATCTTCTTCCTCTTCTTCCTAACATATTCCCGCAGTTACAGGGTCCGTTTTTCAGATCATTGAACACCACTTAGCATGGTCAGCTGTGCCTCCAGGAAGCAGGCCCGTGCATATCTATGCATGTCTTGCCATCTCTGCTTGGACATCCGCAAGGCCATTGACTTCCAGTTAGTAGGAAGTCTTGGCTATGGTGGAAGGTACTGCTCCCTGGACATGTCCATACCAGCGGAGTCGGCCTTCTCTCATCTTCTCTATAATTGGTGCCACATCAAAATGTTATCGAATTGTGTCATTTGTGATGTGGTCAAGAAGGGAGATGCCCAATATCCAACAGAGCATTCGCATTTCCATGGCATGGAGAAAGCTTTTGGTCCCTGTTGTTGCTGCCCAGCATTCAGTGCCATATAGTGCAACAGGGCAGATGGTTAGATTTCATCTGTCACATAACACACTGGTGAATTCTTGTCAATGCATCCAGGCTGCATTCAACCTTGCTTTCATCTTACCACTGATGTTGCCATTGCCTTGGAGAAGTTTAAGTCCCATTAAGCATGAGATAAATTTAAGTAGAAGACACTGTATGTATGATCCAGTTTTATATTTAGCAGCCAAACAAAAAAGCATTTAAGTATTATCAATGGTAAAATATTTATTTGAATGCAGGAACATTTCCAAAATTAACTGCCAAATAATGTTATCTTAAGAGATAAAATATTTAAATTGTCTACATTTGTTGCCCAACTTTTTAATGCAGTTTTCACTACAGGAAGTTTTGGTCAGTGCACATACTACCTCTTAAATTATTCTTTTGATAATAACTTGGCTAGTTTAGTTCTTTTGGGAACACTTTAGAAAGTCATTCAAGCCAAGATGACAAATATATTTTATAATGTTATTATCTCTGGTTTTTTACAGATAGCAATATATAACTCTGACACATGCCTTGTTAATCTATCTAAACCACAGACAAGTACATATATTCTGTGGCTTGTTTAAACTTGGCTTAGTTTACTAAGTGACAGATGGTTAAATACAGAAAAACCTCAACCAAACTGAACCAGCATTTCCCAATCAACTAGCTTTCAGTAACCCAACAAAGAATGAAGTTTATTTATTTATTTAGCATATGGCAAATACATGGACTTATAGTAGTTCAAATGTTAATGTCCAGTCCACCCAGCCATTCAAGGACAGGATGGTCTATGTTGAAAAAAATCAAACATTGGGCCGGTGTGAGCTCTTGATGGACATTTGGACACAATGTCCCCCCCCCACTTTTTTTGTCTTTTCCCTTTATTACCTCATTCATTCATTCATTCATTCATTCATTCATTCATTTTGTAAACATGTACAAGATAACAAATATAAGTATGACCATAAACAAGAACAAAGGAAGTAAATACAGATAAATGGGGCCAGTAAGACAGGGACGATAGGCATGCGGGTATGCTTATGAATGCCCCCTTTGAGGACCTCTTAAGAATGGGGTGAGGTCCACACTAGACAGTTTGAGATTAAGCTGTGAGGGGTTGAGGCTGAAACAATGGAGTCGGGTAGGACATTCCAGGTGTTGACCACTCTGTTGCTGAAGTCATATTTTCTGCAATCAAGTTTGGAGCGGTTTACCTTGAGTTTGTATCAGTTTTTTGCCTGTGTATTTTCATGATTGAATCTGAAGAAGTCATTGACAGGCAAGATGTTATAGCAGACAATTTTGTGAACTATGCTTAGATCAGACTACAGGAGGCGCACTTCCAGATTGTCCAGGCCCAAAATTTCCAGCCTGGAGGTATAGGGAATTCTATTGTGAATGTGTCATGCCACTGTCAGAATCTGATTCTGAGGGGGGTGGAGCAAGCAGCTGACAGGGAGTGGGATTGCCGCTCCATTGGCTGTGGAAGAAACTGGGGAAGCTGGGCAGAGCAGGGGAGAGGTAGAGCAAGGCAGAGGGAATTCAGGGGAAGATCTAGGCTTACTCCCTCTTCATCCTAGGGCACGCAGGGAGGAACGGAGAAGGGAGCAACATGAGTTGCATGGCTTATGGGGGAGGAAAGGGCCCTGATTTCCTTCATTAGCTGCAGCTGGGAACACAGTGTTTAAAAAGGGAGTTTGCACATAGCAACTTGTTGGAAACAAATTGTGTATTATCTTGTTTTGTCAAGGCTTATCTGGGTTCCTGGAGTCTTCCCAACTGTGTGTATTTTGTTGGCCTTTGAAGTCTGCAATTCCTTATCCTGCCCTGTCCAGTTAATTGCTGCAGCGTGGTTTGTGTGGATTTTTATTTACAGTTTATATGTACTTTGTTTTCAGACTGAATTTCCTCCACTTAAAGACTGTTCTAGGGAGAGTTTTTTCTTCAGCTGAAGGAAACTGGACATTGGAGGTATTAAAGGCACTTTTCTTACTTATGTGACTGTGATGCCTTTGTGCCATGCCCCAGGTCATCACAGAATGGAGAAGTGGAGTACTTTTCTCAAGAAATGCTTCTGAACCCGCTCAATTTGTTAATGTCCAATATACAGTGTGGGTTCCAGGCGGACAAGCTATATTCAAGAATTGTCTGGCAAAGGTTTTGTATGCCCTAATTAACAATTCAACGTTGCCGGAGA